CCCCTGAACACTGGAAGCAGCACAGAGCAGCCGTCAGTGTCACCTTCCAGCATCTTATTCCTCGTTCTGTACACCACCATCTTCGCCTGAGCACAGGCGAAGTTGGCGAGGTCATGGCGCTCGGTAGCCAAGGCACCACCCCATTTACGAAGCTGCTGTTGTAGAAGGGCACCCCCACTTTCCTGAAGATGTCCCCCAAAAGGCGGAACATTGCTTTGAGCCGATGCTGGTAATGGGTCACTGCCTCCAACTGTCCTGTAGCGGTCTTCACGAACCTCCTCCTCCTCCACACGAAGACAACGATCTCCCCGTGTAGCCTGTAACAGACTCTTGGGACAAGCACCTATGAAAACCGGCATGGCCACGCAAGGCGGTGGAGTGACCAGCACCACACCTGGCCGCCTTTGTCTCCCCGACTCGCGATGATTTACACTCAGCACCAAGATACTCATTTGAACCTCGTAACGACCTTGCCATACTTGGTCACTCGCACCGAGACACGGACAATGCTCACCCGAGGCTTCAAACAAACACACGCTCAGCTCAGCACGCGCTTAGCTCACGCATACCTGAACAAGGCAGGGTGCGAGCAATTTAAGAGAACGCGATGCTCCTCGTCACTGTCTGCATGCTCGGAGGCCCGGTCCATCGCGGAACTCGCCAGGGATGTGAAGTACGCCAGCAATGCTGTGACTTTGCCGAATATTGTTTTTCGCATTTCTAACTATTCCTGAGAGGTGCATTCAGACACACAGAGAGAAAGAGACACATCAGAAACGAAAAACTCAGCGAGTACAACGCAGCACCAGCAGCAGTAGCATAGGAGGTCATCGCGATGGCAATGAAAATACGTTTTGTACGTTTCATACAATAGCAAGTAAAACTAAACTATGTTTTTGCATTTTACCAGGTAAGGCCCACTGAGCTATTTAGCTCTTTTTCAGAAGCGACTTTGCTATCACAACTGACAGCTTGAAGAGGTTGGGCTTGATCATCATCATGATCATCGCGTAGACATTTATAGCAGCCCAAGTGCTCTAAACATTGATTTAAAATGTGGAGGGGAAAATCAGAGGAACCGGAAAAAAATCCACGCGACCACAGGGAGAAAGAGAAACACGCAAACTCCAAATATACAGCAGCAGGCGTCAGGGTCGGGATCGAACCCACGACCTCCTGTAGACCAGGCGATGTAGTTAACATCTCCTAGCCACCGTGATGATGATGATGATGAGAGCGAGAGACACGCAAACTCCAAATATACAGCAGCAGGCGTCAGGGTCGGGATCGAACCCACGACCTCCTGTATACCAGGCGAGGTAGTTAACATCTCCTAGTCACCGTGATGATGATGAGAAAGAGACACGCAGACTCCAAATATACAGCAGCAGGCGTCAGGGTCGGGATCGAACCCACGACCTCCTGTACACCAGGCGAGGTAGTTAACATCTCCTAGTCACCGTGATGATGATGAGAAAGAGACACGCAGACTCCAAATATACAGCAGCAGGCGTCAGGGTCGGGATCGAACCCACGACCTCCTGTAGACCAGGCGATGTAGTTAACATCTCCTAGCCACCGTGATGATGATGAGAGAGAGAGAGAGAGACGCAAACTCCAAATATACAGCAGCAGGCGTCAGGGTCGGGATCGAACCCACGACCTCCTGTATACCAGGCGAGGTAGTTAACATCTCCTAGCCACCGTGATGATGATGATGAGAGAGAGAGACACGCAAACTACACATATACAGCAGCAGGCGTCAGGGTCGAGATCGAACCCACGACCTCCTGTTTACCAGGTGAGGTAGTTAACATCTCCTAGCCACGTGATGATGATGATGAGAGAGAGAGAGACACGCAAACTACACATATACAGCAGCAGGCGTCAGGGTCGAGATCGAACCCACGACCTCCTGTATACCAGGTGAGGTAGTTAACATCTCCTAGCCACCGTGATGATGATGATGAGAGAGAGACACGCAAACTCCAAATATACAGCAGCAGGCGTCAGGGTCGGGATCGAACCCACGACCTCCTGTACACCAGGCGAGGTAGGTAACATCTCCTAGCCACCGTGATGATGATGATGATGAGAGAGAGACACGCAAACTCCAAATATACAGCAGCAGGCGATCCCAAAAGGGATGGCGATGAGACTTGAGGTGGTAGCGAGGAGGTGACATTGATGATGTGTTGGTTGTCATGGTAACAAAGAGGTGACATTGATGAGGTGTTGGTCGTCTTGGTAACGAGGAGGTGACATTGATGAGATGTTGGTTGTCTTGGTAACGAGGAGGTGACATTGATGAGATATTGGTTGTCTTGGTAACGAGGAGGTGACATTGATGAGATATTGGTTGTCTTGGTAACGAGGAGGTGACATTGATGAGGTGTTGGTTGTCTTGGTAACAAGGGGGTAACATTAATGAGGTGTTGGTTGTCATGGTAACGAGGAGGTGACATTGATGAGATATTGGTTGTCATGGTAACGAGGAGGTGACATTGATGAGGTGTTGGTTGTCATGGTAACGAGGGGGTAACACTGATGAGGTGATGGTTCATCTTCTTTGTTCTTTCGGTAAAGTCACGTAGAAGGGAAGTAATAAAATAATACAAATAAAACACAATAAAATAATTCTCACGACGTTTCGGCCACAACGCAAGCAGCCGTCCTCAGGTGAAAACCAGGTCTGTCGAGGCGACAGGTGTTGGTTGTCTTGGTAACGAGGAGGGTGACATTCACAACGTGAATTACGCAATGACTTGGCCCCCAGGGCCGTTGCGTGTGAAGTCACAGAAGGGTGAAGCAAGTGATGTTGGCAATGCGGGCACTGCTGCTGCTGCTGCTGCTGCATATGTTGGACTTCTTTCGCACCGTACGTAGCCAACCGTGGATACAACAAGCAGCTCTCAAGAAATGTGTTTGTCTGTCTAGATCAGGGGTCGGCAACCAAAATAACAAGAAGAGCCATTTCTTTCCAATTCGGTACAAAATTCAGTATTTCAAGAGCCGCAATGCATCTGAGTACATACGTACTCATCGTCAAGAAGCAGCCCGTAAAGAGCCGCATGCGGCTCCGGAGCCGTAGGTTGCCGACCCCTGGTCTAGATGATGATCATTTCAATGTGCACGGCTACCGGTGGCTTCCTCATATCGGCAGGGAAGAGCGTTCCAGACGGCCGCCTTGGTTCCGTGGCTGAGCCAAGAGTCGCTGCCGTGAAGATGATCAAAGGGACCGTCCATAAATGACGTCACGCACCTGGGGGTGGTGGGGGGTCAGACATTTGTGACGTTGTGTGACGAGTGGAGGGGGAGTTTGAGAAATGTGACGTCGCATCAAAATGCTGCAACTTTAAATAAATATAGACAACACGTTCTACTTAATTGAATCGACTTTTTAATAAATGTTTTCTCCTACAACATCAGAGTGCAGCGCCACATTAAATACGCGCTACAATGACAATTGTTTTATTTTTAAAATGGATTTTTTTTTTGGGGGGGGTGGTGGGGCAGAGCTTTGTGACGTCATATTTGAGGGGGGGGGGTCTGACTATTTGTGACGCCGTGTGACGAGGTTGGGGGGGGGGGTCAAAAATCGTCAAAAATCGTCCAAAATCGCGTGACGTCATTTATGGACGAACCCAAAGGAGGTGCACAAGGACAGTCAACAATGCGAACAAAACAACGTGTGGTCTTTAAATAATATTAATAAAAAAAAACATAATAGGTGAGCTTGCGGGCCAATGGCTCTTGATGTGCTGTTAAGAAGGTCCATTACCCGAAACGTCGCCTATTATATCTGTGTTTTTTTAAAAGACTAAGATCCCCCGTGTAGCCTTAACAGACTGTAGGGGCAAGTGCTGTTAGCGAGCACCTATGAAGGCCGGCACGGCACACGAGGGGGTGGGTGGCCAGCACCACGCCCGGCCGCCTTTGTCTCCCCATTGGCGATGTTTACACACCGCACCAGGCACTCATTTGAGGCTGAGTCGACCTGGAGGAGGCGCACCACCGACTCAGACAATCGTCACTGGTGTTGGTCGTGAGCAGGATTCGAACTTGGGTCTCCGGGTTCGATGGCTGCTCCACTACGCCATGTACATGGGACAGAGCAGTGGTTCTAAATCTTGGGACAGAGCAGTGGTCCTCAATCTTGGGATGGAGCAGTGGTTCTAAATCTTGTCTGGTTTTAAATCTTGGGGTAGAGCAGTGGTTCTAAATCTTGGCTGGTTCTAAATGTTGGGACAGAGCAGTGGTTCTAAATCTTGGGATGGAGCAGTGGTTCTAAATCTTGGGATGGAGCAGTGGTTCTAAATCTTGGCTGGTTCTAAATCTTGGCTGGTTCTAAATCTTGGCTGGTTCTAAATCTAGGGATGGAGCAGTGGTCCTCAATCTTGGGTGGCTACTGTTGTTGTTGCATTTTCTTTTAACAGAGGATACCCCCCCCCCCCACCCCCCATTGCTTGACCCAACATTGGCTCTGAGAAATAAATGTGTTGACGATGAACATCCGATATTTTCACAAATTGTCCGTGTTGTGAGGTTTAACCTAGATAGCCTGGGGTCACCTGCAAACGAATAACAAGAAAAAAACATTATACGGATGTTCTGCGCGTGCGACGTCATTTGTTCAGTTCCTCCAGGCAACCCAACATTGTTTGCTATCAACGAGTTTATTCAGGTCTTTCATATCGTTATAGGTTGACCGTATGGATTTCAAAATGTAGCGTGGTTATTTTACATGGGCAGATTCATCCAACGTGACCATTCACCAATGATTCTTACGCACGATATAGTTTCACGCATTTATAAATCATCTCACGTCACCCCCTTGGGACGTTGCCACGTAACCCCAGGGAGAGGATCCGCGTAACCCCCGGCTGAGAACCACTGGGATCGAGCGTTTCTCCCTTGCCGAGGTGACATGCGCTGTGAACAGAACAACCGGATTCGTTGTGAGGGCAGCGCAAGCCCTGTCATTCTCTCGCTGCTTTCAGAACAATCTTCAGGATCGCATCATCGTCAAGATCGCATCACCACCAAGATCGCATCACCACCAAGATGGCATCACCATCACCAAGATCCCATCACCACCAAGATGGAGTCACCACCAAGATCTTATCACCATCAAGATGGCATCACCACCAAGATCCCATCACCACCAAGATGGCGTCATCACCATCACCAAGATTGCGTCATCATCACAAAGAATGGGTTAGCTTCCAAGCCCCCCCCCCCCCAAGTCACTGCATTATTTTGTATTCAACACGGCGTTACCTGTGTAATGTATGCATTGCTGCGTAATTACATTATCAAAGCGTGTTTGTTTGCATGCTTCCCACCGCAGTGTTCGCGTTGAAGACCTCGCAGAGAATGGCTTTGACGGCGACCTTGCGGGATTGGTGCCAGAGAGTTGCGGCCATGAGATTGAGCATATTGGCAAATATCGGAGGAAAGCGTTAACGAGTGACGCGATTTCGATTTAAAGCTTTCGTGACTGCAGGGATTCACCTTCTTGGTTATTTCGGTAAAGTCACGTAGAATGTAAATAATAAAATAATAAAAATATAAAACATAATAAAATAATAAAATTTCGATTTAAAGCTTTCGTGACTGCAGGGATTCATCTTCTTGGTTCTTTCGGTAAAGTCACGTAGAATGGAAATAATAAAAAAATAAAAATAAACATAATAAAATATTATTTTATAATGTTTTATTTTTATTATTTTATTATTTCCATTCTACGTGAAAAAGAAACATAATAAAATATTATTTTACTATTTTTTATTTTCATTATTTTATTATTTCCCTTCTACGTGACTTTACCGAAAGAACCAAGAAGAGTGACACGATGTGCAGTGGATACCTCAACTCGGCAATGTTTACTCTTTGGTTCTGTTGGTTAGGTAGAAAATTAATAGATCACGACGCTTTGATCGCAACACAAAGCAACCGTCTTCAGGTGAAACAAACACTCCTTTATCTTCTTGGTTCTTTCGGTAAAGTCTCGTAGAAGGGAAGTAATAAAATAATAAAAATAAAACATAAAAAAAACATATTATATTATTTTATTATATTATATTCTTTTATTATTATATTATTCTATTATGCTTTATTTTTATTATTTTATTATTTCTTTTCTACGTAACTTTACCGAAAGAACCAAGAAGATGAATCCCTGCAGTCACGAAAGCTTTAAATCGAAATTTAAACACGCCTTCGTCAGCAGTTTTACTGCTGTGGTTTTCCCACCCGAGGACGGTTGCTTGTGTTGCGATCGAAACGTCGTGATACATTATGTTTTTGTTTAATTTTATTTTTCTACCCACGTGACTTTACCGAAAGAACCAAAGAGTATGGATTCCTGCAGTCACGAAAGTTTCAAACCAAGTAGCCAAATGACTCTAAACGCGTGGTGATGTTGATTCTAAATGTGGAAGGGAAAAACCGAGAACCCGGAGAAAAATCCACGCGACCACGGGGAGAGAGAGAGAGAAACACGCAAACTCCAAATATACAGCAGCAGGCGACAGGGTCTGGATTAAACCCACGACCTCCTGTATACCAGGCGAGGTAGTTAACATCTCCTAGCCATCGTGATGATGATGAGAGAGAGACACGCAAACTCCAAATATACAGCAGCAGGCGACAGGGTCTGGATTAAACCCACGACCTCCTGTATACCAGGCGAGGTAGTTAACATCTCCTAGCCATCGTGATGATGATGAGAGAGAGAGACACGCAAACTCCAAATATACAGCAGCAGGCGTCAGGGTCTGGATTAAACCCACGACCTCCTGTACACCAGGCGAGGTAGTTAACATCTCCTAGCCACCGTGATGATGATGATGAGAGAGAAACACGCAAACTCCAAATATCTAGCAGCAGGCGTCAGGGTCGGGATCGAACCCACGACCTCCTGTATACCAGGCGAGGTAGTTAACATCTCCTAGCCACCGTGATGATGATGATGATGAGAGAGACACGCAAACTCCAAATATACAGCAGGCGTCAGGGTGTGGATTAAACCCACGACCTCCTGTACAACAGGCGAGGTAGTTAACATATCCTAGCCACCGTGATGATGATGGGAGAGAGAGACACGCAAACTCCAAATATACAGCAGCAGGCGTCAGGGTCGGGATCGAACCCACGACCTCCTGTATACCAGGCGAGGTAGTTAACATCTCCCAACCACCGTGATGATGATGATGAGAGAGAGACACGCAAACTCCAAATATACAGCAGGCGTCAGGGGTCGGGTTCGAACCCAGGCGTAGAGGTCATCTGCCCATGCATCGTGATAATGACTAGGAAGCTGATTGGTGCACAAGGCAACAACAACAACATCAACAAGGTCACATTCCTGTGTGTGTGTGGCCTTTAAAGGAACAAAAACATACACGTGACATGCAACGTCTCGGTCAATGGCTCTTCTTTACAGGACGTACAATGTGCCGTGATTCTTTTTTATTTACGAATGTATACAATATGTGACGTTTCGAGAAATTGCCCTTCCGCATCCCGTATACTATTCGTAACACATTGCATGTGCTGTGCAGAAGGGCCAATCCCTGAAACGTCACCTATTGTATATATATATATATACATGAGGAAATTTAATCTAATGGAATATTTACACAAAGGGGCATTCACTCAAGGTGCTTGACACGGGTTCCAAAGCGGTTTGACACAGAGTGGGAACGCATCTCTGAGGGTCTCTGTGTATCTCTGTGGGTCTCTGAGTATCTCTATGTATCTCTGTGGGTCTCTGTGTATCTCTGTGGGTCTCTGTGTATCTCTGTGGGTCTCTGTGTATCTTTGTGGGTCTCTGTGTATCCCTGTGGGTCTCTATGTATCTATGTGGGTCTCTGTGTATTTATGTGGATCTCTGTGTATCTCTGTGGGTTTCTGTGTATCTCGGTGGGTCTCTATGTATCCCTGTGGGTCTCTGTGTATCTCTGTATGTCTCTGTGTATCTCTGTGGGTCTCTGTGTATCTCTGTGGGTCTCTATGTATCCCTGTGGGTCTCTGTGGGTCTCTGTGTATCCCTGTGGGTCTCTGTGTATCTCTGTGGGTCTCTATGTATCTCTGTGGGTCTCTGTGTATCTCTGTGGGTCTCTGTGTATCTATATGGGCCTTTGTGTATCTCTGTGGGTCGCTGTGTATCTATGTGGGTCTCTACGTATCTCTGTGTGTCTCTGTGTATCTCTGTGAAAGAGAGCGTTGGGCATGATTGGCATGCAGCAATTGCCATCCGCGTGTCGGTGAGGACCCACGAGAGAGGGCCCTGTTTGAAGTGACAGCACATTGGAGTGGCCACGCGGTGACGTCATCAGGGCCACTAGTGGAAATTTAAGAAGCGGTAGTGGAAATGTAATTATCTACGTGACCCCTCCCCCCCTCCCAATTATTTTTTTGGGCAGGAACCCTTTCAAAACTTATTCATTGCATAAATGGATTAAGGCCTTTTTTTAAATCCTTCATATTAAGTTCGCTTGCTTGCTTACGACCGTGCAAATCTTTCAGTCGTTTTTTAACCCACTTCCCGTGGTCCAATCGAGCTGACATTTTGCACACAGACTCGTTGTGCGTGACAATTAATGTTCTTGAAAAATTTTTTCCAAAATTTTACACTTTGTAGGACAAAAATATTATATTTTATTACCAATTTCTTAATGGTGCAATGCAATCATCTGACCCATAGGTGGCAGCCATCTCAAGCCAGAGGACGAGAGGACTCTAGCCGCCACGCATATAAAGGATTTATAGTGAAAAACTTTATTTTTACGGGTTATACTTGTTTAAATATATATTTTGCATTTCCTATGTAATTTTTTGGAAATGTAATTGTGGAGGTGGCACAGTGAAACGTACTCGATCACAAAGATAGGGGTCCCCCGTATAGCTTTCACCAGACTGCTGGGGCAAGTGCTGTTAGCGGAACGGCGCACGAGAGAATGGGTGGGCCAGCTCCACGCCCGACCGCCTTTGTCTCCCCACTGACGATGTTTACACACCGCAGCAGGTACTCATTTGAGGCTGAGTCGACCTAGGGGAGGCCCAGGACAGGTTAAGATAATCGTCATTGGGTGTTGGCCGTGAGCGGGAATCGAACCCGGGTCGCCAGGTTCGTAGCACAGCGCGCTAACCGCTACACCCCCCCCCCCCACACACACTCTCACCTGCACACACTCACGTACACACACACACTCATCTACACACACTAACCTACACACACTCACGTAGACACACACACTCACCTACACACACACACTCGCCTACAAACACACACTCGCCTACAAACACACACTCACCTACACACACACTCTCTGCACACACACTCACTTGCACAAACACTTACCTACACACACTCACCTACACTCACATACATACACTCACCTACACACACACTCACTTATACACACACTCACAAGCATACACACTCAGCTCCACACAATCTCACCTACACACACACACACTCACCTGCACCACACTGACCTGCACACACACACACTCTCACCTGTGTAATGCGGGCGTAAATGGGCGGGGCGGATATGACGATCCGAGAGGGAGGAGTCAGGGTGACGTGGGGGAGAAGTTATAGCGGGGAGACAGGAAGCTATCTGGGTCAGTCGGGGGAGTGAAGGGTGGTGAACACGTTGGGTGGTCGCCGTGCCTCAGCCTGGTGGCTGAGGGGCTCATGACGGCGCCAGCCAGCGGGGTGGAAGAGAGAGTGGAGGATTGAGGTTGGAAGTGGCGAGATAGCCATAGAGGCCACGAAGGGCTGAGGTAGGAAGTGGCGAGATAGCCACAGAGGCCACGAAGGGCTGAGGTAGGAAATGGCGAGATAGCCACAGAGGCCACGAAGGGCTGAGGTAGGAGATGGCGAGATAGCCACAGAGGCCACGAAGGGCTGAGGTAGGAAATGGCGAGATAGCCACAGAGGCCACGAAGGGCTGAGGTAGGAAATGGCGAGATAGCCATAGAGGCCACGAAGGGCTGACATTGGGAGGTGGCGAGATCGCCACGCACGGAGGAACAGGGAGCAGCGATGGAGCTGCTGGGGGAGCAGCCAGAGGGCTGTACCAAGAGCCTGCAGCGGAGCTGCAGGAGCGTGGAAGGCTACGGGAGCGAAGGCAGATGTGGGGCTGCCAGGGAGAGAGTCTCAGGAGGAGTGCCGTGTGGGAAGGAGAACGCGAACCCCAAATAAAGGACACGGAGTCAGCGAGAAGTGTCTGAGTCCTTTTATTACACCTACACACACACACACACTCCCCTGCACACACACTCACCTGCACACACATCCACTCCCCTACACACACACACACTCACCTGCACACACATCCACTCCCCTACACACACACACACTCACCTTCACACACACACTCTCACCTACACATACACACTCACCTGCACACACACTCACCTACACACACACACTCCCCTACAC